AATGAGGAAACAACTCAAATGGGGATTTATCCTATCCAGAGATGGAAAAGGAAAGCTAAAGCAAGATTCTTCTACAAGAGTTAACTCAGTGGGGAATTAGAAAAAGAGGCGCACTTTCTGCTTAAGTTGACACTCTATTTGGAAAGATCAAATACGCTATTTGAATAGACATAACCAAGGTATACGTACTCAAAGACATCAACAAATACAACTGTGCATGCATGATGCAAGTGTGAATGAATGAATGAATGTCATGTATATGCTGACAAAACAGACATGGGAGATAGACAGAAAATGATAAGACATCACAGTACAACTCGACACTCGGCTAATCTCGACAGGATGGTAACATTACTGGAGATAGAAAACAAAAGCCATCATTGGAGCAAAGTCCTTTTACAAGGCTTAAATATCTCTGGAGAGGAAGATATTTTCAGGTAGAAAACCCAAAGTCCAGTCTTCTATTGCAAACAATCCATTGAAAGGATAACAACACAAACAAAGTTTCAGCTGGAAAGAAGTCTTGCTTAGCTGGAGATACTGGGAACACCACCCTCTGATAATGTATGAAAAACATATCTTGATAAATCTGGATTGCCCCTGGGATTAATTTTGGATGCCCCAAGTTTACTGTTGATAAGCTGCGTGATGCACGACAATTCTTGCGAATAGCTTCACCTCTAAAATGCCCCAAGCTATATGGTTGATAAGGGGAAATCGTCTCAAAAGGATTTTACAAAAGACCTGGCATTCACTATGCTCTGGTGTCTTCAAACTCTTAGAGATATTCATCAAATCTCGATGTGATTGCCCCAGATTGACTGTAGTTGGCACAACAAAGTCTTAAAATTTTGCCCCAAAAGAGTAAACAAGTTGGGAAAAGCATTAACTGGGAGAAGCAACATGTCTGTGCTTAAGGTTTTCATGTGACATGCCCCCTGATATGATTTTTTTTCTTAAAATGATACTCCAATTACTCAATCATAGTTCCAGGCCTTAAAAGAATAAACTCATCACTAGTGCTTATATGTGAGCTTCCTTGATATCAAACAAATGTTTTGCAGTTAGAAAAAGTTTATTATGAGAATTAAAATTCTAATGCAACAGTTATGTAAGTCTTGAAGATTTTGAAAAAATATCGCACAAATTTTGCGAGTTAGAGCACCATTTATTTTTGTGTAGGAAAAACATATGATACCAACATAACTATTTAGAACATTCATGGGAGTCAGGAACACTATCTCATTGAAGTATGCTTTCAAAATAACCTTGCTTCAATTAGGACTTTTGAAGGTTGTAACGTGGTCTGGTTCATGGTTTTTTAGAAAAAAAAGATTTTAAGGCTCAAAATATTTGGTGCCCACCCATTCTTCATGATGTTCTCCAACCCTATATTCAGTTAATTCAACATGAGTGTTCATCTCTCAAAAGGATTTTGTGACGGTCAAGGAAACGACGAGGCTTTCGGAATAGAAACCACCCTCATGTCTTCGTGTTCGTAGTCACCAATTTATTCTTTGCTGAGGACTTTTCTTTGCAGTCCTTTTCTTTGCAATTTTATTTTCCCTAAATTTTGCCTGAACTAATTCTTTTGAATTGATAGTCCATCGGGATGCCTTAATTTTGCCTAAGTCACACGTTTTCATGTTTTTTTGACGTAGCAGGCTTTTCTTTTTCTTGATTTTTGACTTTTTGAACAAAATGTGTGACATTAGCTTGTCTTTGCTTGTTGAGAGGATTGTGATTGCCTCGTTTCTTGATGAATGAGGGATAACATTGTGGTTCCACATCCTCTAGATTCATTATACATGAAAGATAGCCCTCGTAGTTTCTCTTCAGAAATATCTTCCTTATGAATTTTGAACACTCAATCAGATTAACTGAAAACTACCCTGCCCCAGGTTTAAAGTTGAGGGTTTTTTCGTATAGAAAAGAAACTTCTGCTTCAAAGGCTCAAAAGGGGTTAGCAAGGGATTATCTTCCTTATATCTCCGGTGTTTAGGGATTTGAAACAATGCATGTACATCATCAGCAAGATTTTATCCAAAAGCAAACAACCAGAGATTTTGTGTTCTTTAGATCATCATCCTCCCTTCAATCTCTGCCTAGGCAAGAGAATGGGAAACAAGTTGGTATCATAATGCCAAAAGAAATTTAAAATTTAAAACAAATATGAGTGAAACGAATGAATTTCTTCAAGACAAACATACTCATTGTATTAAGATAATCATACAGATGCAAACAAGTTCTTACATGCAAACAATGTTTTGATAAACAAGAAAAATTACAAAAAGCAGAAATAAGTTAATGATCGGGGAAGGATTTCCATCTGGACTTGAATCACCGAAAACATCCTTCAAAACTCAAAGTGACCATCAATCGTGTTTACTCTTCGGCACGTGCTTGATTTGAACTTCAAAACCAACGTCCTTGAATGACAATCAGTGAATACTTTTATCCTCGCTTCCTCCTTCTTAGAAGGATTGACTTGGGCAACAACCAAAATTTCAACCAAAACAGTCGAGTGATCCATACCAGCTTTCAAAATAGTCATCTCTCTACGGAGTTCAGAAACCTCTTGCTTGATATTCTCCATTGTTCTCTTAGCGCGAGTGTTGTACTGGTGAGACCAAAGGAAAAATAAGACTCGGAAAAAGACCTTTGAAAGTGAAACAAAAAATGTAGAATGATGTATGATATGCAAAAGAGAGTTTTTATTTGATTTTCAAGGAACTCAAGATATTAAGTTGTAAACATCAAAGTATGAAGATAGAAGATGAATTTTAAATTGGCTCCAAACATTGATCAAGTTATCATCAAGATCAATCATCCATTTTGGTGGATTAGGGTTTTCGCCCTATCAACACCCAAGATCCATTGAGCTTGACGAAACTTGTGATGTTTACAAAGAAAGACCTCCAAATTCCTTCAAAGTCAAGTGAAAAGGGTTTTATGGATGCATGGATGCATGGCTATGCAACAACCACAAGCAAGGTCACAAATAAAGTCGAAAGGTTCAACGTCACGATCATGGAGTCAAGGTAAGGAACACCCCCAAGGTATGTACTAACGGTTTAATCACACCTGTAGAACAAGGTTCTAAGAGTTCTCGGAGTCTACATTCCTCCTTCAGATGTTACCAACGTCTTGATTACTCAATAATCAGCAATATTCTCAAGAGAAACTCATCCGAGCGTAGCATCGCGTAACAATTACTTCCGGGTTACTCCGTTATAATCTCCGCGCTACACCTAAAAGGCCAAGATGGGTTAGGGTTCTACGGTTCCCAGCTTCTCTGGCTCCCAGGTCGAAAATAATAATGTCTTCCCGATTACTCAGTAAACAAATATTACTTTCAAAAGGGCCTTCCACTGAGTGGGGGATCTCATGCCTCCTTCTTCGGGATTACTCCCTCAAAGTTAACATGACTATACCGCCCGTCCTATTTCTAAGTGTAACTTAGTCCGGGTATAGGACTTGTCCTTTGTAACTATTATCAACACCCAAATAATCATAATATATACATATAATCAAACAATCAAATAATGATAAAACAGATAAAACAAATTAGGCTTAACCCACTTAGGGATGGACCAGCAAGAGGTCAATCTTTCCCCAGCAGAGTCGCCAATTCTGTAGCGGTGAAAATCAGAGATCAAGCTATTAATTAACTTGACTCACAAAAGCAAGAGTCGCCACCGCGCTTTATTATTTCCAAGGGAAAAGGGAAAAAAGCGAAATAAAACCCTAAAATATGCAATGTAAAGTAATATTTAAAAGTAATGAAAATACAATGCGTTTTTAAAAGAGATCGAGAGTTCGGGGGTTGGTTATACAATGGGAAGGTATTAGCACCTAATGTATCTGCGGTACTCCGCAGGAACCTTTTGAAATATCTATTTTTTTGGTTAAAATTGTTTGTTTAGTTAAATGGGTATGGATGAGATTTTGAAGATACGACGACCTAGTGTTGAAGTTTTGACTTAAAAGGGGTGGGTTTTAAAATTGTAGAGATATTTAAATACAAATAAAAGAGAGTATAACTAATTATCTAAAGAAGTTATTTGACCTAAATTAAAAATTAAGATTTCTTACTAAAATAATTCTAAACTAACTACAAATTCTAAGGTTGTAAAAATAGTTCTAAAATTACTAAATTAGATCTAAACTAAATTAAAATTTTAAAATTAGTAAATTAAATCTAAACTAAATAAAAATTCCAAGGTTGCTTATCTAAAACAAAAAAAAAATTTCAAAGTTACTAAACTAAATCTAAATCAAATAAAATTCTAAAATTACTAAACTAAAACTAAACAACTAAGATTCTAAAGTTAACTAAATAAAATCAAGTAAAATTCTAAAATTATTAAAGTAAACTAAAACAAATAAAATTTTAAAATTTACTAAATAAAATCAAATAAAATCCTAAAGTTACTAAAATAAAACTAAAACAAATAAAATTCTAAAATTACTAAACTAAAACTAAACAACTAAGATTCTAAAGTTAACTAAATAAAATCAAGTAAAATTCTAAAATTATTAAACTAAACTAAAACAAATAAAATTTTAAAATTTACTAAATAAAATCAAATAAAATCCTAAAGTTACTAAAATAAAACTAAAACAAATAAAATTCTAAAGTTTACTAAATAAAATCTAAATGAAATAAAATTCTAAAGTTACTAAAATAAAACTAAACAAATAAAATTCTAAAGTTTACTAAATAAAACTAAAACAAATAAAATTCTAAAGTTTACTAAATCAAATCTAAATGAAATAAAATTCTAAAGTTACTAAAATAAAATTAAAACAAATAAAATTCTAAAGTTATTAATTATGATTCTAAATATTTTAAAGTTATAAAATAAATCTAAACTAATTAAAAAATTCTAAATTAATACTAAACTAAATCTAAATATAAGATTTACTAATATTTTTTTTATATTTTTTTTTAAAGATAATTGGGCTAGGAGTGTATATTGAATTGGAGATGTTCTTCCTCACCAAACAAATACCTTATCAAAGATGGGGAATTCTGATTTGAAGCGGGTGCAGACGAAATCCAATATTTGATCATTGGTTCCAGGTTCTTCCTCACCAAATTGATTACTTGGAAATGCCAGAATCTCAAAGCCTTTTAGTTTGTACTTGTCATATAGTTGATTCAACTCCACATAATTTGAATTGGTCATGCCACATTTGAAAGCAACATTAACAATGAGAAGAACTTTTCCCTTGTAAGTAGCAAGATCTAGATGATTTCCCTTAGCATCCTTGAGAGTGAAATCGTAGACGGATTTTGGGTCGTTGCTGGTTTCGGTGGCCATGTTATGTTTTGTAGCGCGGTGAGTGTGTGGTGGTGGTATGGTGGATGTTTGAAGAAGAGGAAACATAAGGTGGATAATTGATGGAGGAAGGTGGTATTGTGTTTGTTCTGTTTGGAAGAGGAATAAAGAGTTAAAGAGAGGAAGCATTTACTGTTTTTTTTTGTTTTTTTCTTGTTAGAACAAAGAGTGAAATAAGCTTTAAATAGGAAAGTGAAAAGGAAAAAAATGATACCAAATTAATCATGTCCGTTCAAAATTTAATCTGTATGTATGAATCCACAAATTAAGCTATCAACCAATAGAAATAGAGCAAGGTGTATTTAATATTTTTTTATGACAAAAACGCCCTTAATGATAAAAATGAAATAAAAAAACTGGAAGTATTAAAATTAATTCAATATGAAATAATTTTTTTGAATTTTTTCTGAATAAAAAATAAAGATCCAAAATGACTAAAAACGATAAAGAAACGGACAAAAATTTATCCAAAAAAATAAAATGAACACATTAAAATAAACTACATGTCACAAAGATTAAAGAAAAAATATTCAAGAAATCAAAATCAAGATAAAATGATAATAAAAATATCAGGCTAAACAGACGTTTACGGTTAAAAACGAAACTTCAAACTGTACCGAAAAAATAAAGCGAGCATACCGTCATAATCTAAGCGAAACGCAGATTCATAAAATGATCAGTAAAAGGTGAAAACTTGAAGTATTTTCTCGCTAATTTTCTGCACAGTGTCGAATCGCTTTTAACAGTCTGTCTATAAAACCAAAATATTTTTATTATCGACATATAAACAACTTGGAGCAATGCAAGAAAATAGTAAACAGATAAAAATGAATGAAGTGAAATGCCGGGTATTTTACAACTGAAAGACGATGCAAACTTTGATTTAAACTGACTTTTTCTGGTCAACTTAAATACGACTAATGATGCAAAATGTGATGAATGAAGATATTTACTAATGATTGTGACCAAATAACAAAATATGATATGAAAGTGCGACTAAAACATATTAGGGGCGAAATTTAGGGTGCAACAGTTGTGCCTTGATGAATCAGTCTTCGAGAATCTACAATCAACCGTACTTCTGGCTTGGGAGACTCAAAACCTTAATTGAGGCGCGACACTTGATGCTCTTGATCCAGACCTGTCTATGCATGTGAAATAAAAGAAAACATGAACATACACCTTTGTATGCGATTAGAAATTAGTGATACATAGGCTAAAAATGTTCAAAACACTTGACAATCTTCGCATAGTCAAAGCTCGAAGGTGAGAGGTTAAAACCGACCGTATTTCGTGACCTTGACTTATGTTTAAAAATGCAAAAATAAAAATGGGATCTTAGGTCAAAAATTGGGGTATGACACATATGCAACAAACTGGAAATGGGTGAACTAAGACCAACAAAGATGTCCGTTCAATTGGCGAATCGCTCTGTCAAATACCCAGTAGGAATCTTAGAAAACGTTCCTGTACGGATAGGTCAATTCTACATCCCTACAAATTTCATAATCATGGACATTAGAGAAGACGAAAGTACACCTATCATCTTAGGAAGACCATTCTTAGCCACCGCTGGAGCTATCATAGATGTAAAAAAGGGCAAACTAACCTTTGAAGTAGGTGAAGAGAAAGTCGAATTTATTCTGACACAATTCTTACAAGTGCCTGCCATAGATGACACATGTTATCTGGTAGACATCGTGGACGAATGCATAAGAGAGATTGAATGTGAACCAATACCTTGTTCTGAAACCATGAAGATTCCCACACCTCTTATATTCGAAGATAATGAATGGTGTCCCGAATACCGAGACGACAATCTGAGTGAATGCTTAGCTCTGACACCCGACCACATGCCTTGTCCAAGAAAACCAACATTGGATCTTAAGCCATTACCTAAGACCCTTAGATATGAATTCCTTGACACCGAGTTAAAACGACCTGTAATTGTCAACACGGACTTAGGACAACAAGAAACAGACAAATTATTACAAGTCTTAAGAAAATATCCATCCGCCTTGGGATACAACATTACAGATCTCAAACGAATAAGTCCTTCCATTTGCATGCATCGTATTATGCTGGAAAATGACTGCAAATCTTCTAGAGAACATCAACAAAGAATTAACCCAATATGGAGCACCGTAGATAAAGATGAAGTTAAAAAACTTCTGAACGCAGGAATCATATACCCAATATCTGATAATCAATGGGTAAGCCCAGTCCACTATGTACCAAAGAAAGGTGGTATAACAGTGAAAACAAACAAAGCAGGCGAAGCTGCAGTGAAACGAACTATAAGCGGAGTTAGAATGTGTATTGACTATAGGAAGCTAAACAAGGCCACTCACAAGGACCATTTCCCTCTACCGTTCATTGATCAAATGCTTGAGCGATTAGCTAAGCACTCTCATTACTGTTATCTAGATGGTTACTTGGGATTCTTTCAAATTCCTATTCACCCCGATGACAAAGAGAAAACAACATTCACATGTCCTTATGGAACTTTCGCCTACCGACGAATGCTGTTTGGACTATGGAACGCTCCCGCCACATTTCAGAGGTGCATGATGGCAATCTTTGCTGATTTCATAGACAACATCATGGAGGTCTTTATGGATGACTTCTCTGTATGTGGAGAGAGTTTTGAAGATTGTCTAATAATTTTAGAGAAAGTTTTGGAGAGATGCGTAAAAGTTAACCTCGTTCTGAATTGGGAAAAGTGCCACTTTATGGTCAAACAAGGAATCGTACTAGGACACGTTGTGTCTGAAAAGGGGATTGAAGTCGATAAAGCTAAGATTGAAGTCATAGAAAACTTGCAACCCTCTAAAATAGTAAGAGAAATACGCAGTTTCTTAGGACACGCCGGTTTCTACCGACGATTCATAAAAGATTTCTCGCAAATATCAAAACCTCTAACTACCCTCCTTATGAAAGACGTTGAATTCGATTTCGATGACAAATGACTAAAAGCATTTAACCAATTAAAAACAGCTCTTGTATCCGCACCAATCATGCAACCACCTGATTGGAGACTTCCATTTGAAATCATGTGCGACGCAAGTGATTACGCCGTAGGTGCAGTCCTGGGACAACGAAGAGATAAGAAGCTTCATGCAATATACTATGCTAGTAGAACCTTGGACCCTGCACAGATGAATTACGCAACCATAGAAAAAGAACTTTTAGCTGTAGTCTTTGCACTAGACAAATTTCGCTCCTACCTAGTAGGTGCAAAAATAATCATTTATACAGACCACGCAGCTATTAGATATCTCTTAACCAAGCAAGATTCGAAGTCGAGACTATTGAGATGGATTCTGCTTCTACAAGAGTTCAATTTAGAAATTAAAGACAAGAAAGGTATCGATAACGTAGTAGCCGACCATTTATCCCGAATGGAAAGGCTAACATCAGAAGAGGTACCCATTAACGATGACTTCCCGTATGAACGTCTGTTAGCTCAGATGGACTTAGGAGATGCCAGCGAAGAACCACCTGAACTGAATCCAAACCAACTGCTTTTAGAACCTGACACACAAGCTGTTAGCCGTGATTCACAAGAAAGCCAAGACGAAATAAATAATGATATAAATGAAACTGTGGTCTCTATCTGAACTGATCAAACCTTACCATGGTATGAGGATATAACAAATTACTTGGCTGCCAAAATCCTACCCCCTGATTTGACTTATCAACAGAAGAAAAAATTCTTTCATGATTTGAAACATTACTTTTGGGATAAACCTTTACTATTCAAGAGAAGTGCCGACGGTATTTTATGACGATGCGTCCCGGAAAACGAAATTGAAAGCATTATTTCTCATTATCATGATGCCCCTTACGGAGGACACGCAAACACATTAAAGACATGTGCCAAAATTTTGCAGTCTGGCTTCTATTGGCCAAATTTATGGAAAGATGTGCACATAGCCATCCTCAACTGCGACCGATGCTAACGCACTGGAAACATATCCAGATGCGATGAGATGCCTCAGACTGGCATCCTACACGTCGAAGTCTTTGATGTATGGGGAATAGACTTCATGGGACCATTTCTGTCCTCATACGGTAACAAATATATACTCGTGGCTGTAGATTACGTTTCGAAATGGATCGAAGCAATAGCTTCTCCAACGAACGATACTAGAGTCGTGATTAAACTCTTCAAGAACATTATATTCCCAAGGTTTGGTGTACCCAAGCAAGTCATAAGAGACGGTGGCTCCCACTTCATATCGAGAATCTTCGATAAACTCCTAACCAAATATGGGGTGAGACACCGCGTAGCAACACCATACCACCCCCAGACAAGCGGACATGTGGAAGTTTCAAATTGAGAAATAAAATAAATATTGGAAAAAACTGTTGCCACGTCAAGAAAGGACTGGTCGGCTAAATTACCTGAAGCATTATGTGCCTACAAGACGGCGTTCAAGACGCCAATAGGTACAACACCCTTTAAACTCATCTATGGTAAATCATGCCACCTGCCAGTGGAAATTGAACACAAAGCTTACTGGGCAATTAAAACTTTAAACCTAAGATACACTGCGGCAGGTGAGAAAAGGATCCTCGACATAAATGAATTAGAAGAACTAATATTAGACGCATATGAAAATGCGAGGATCTACAAAGAAAGGACGAAAAAGTGGCACGACAAATGAATCTCAAGGAAGGAATTCAATGAAGGAGATGTAGTTCTCCTATTCAACTCTCGTCTAAAACTTTTTCCTGGGAAAATCCGTTCACGATGGTCTGGACCCTTCGAAGTAACCAAAGTTTTGCCCAGTGGTGCCATAGAGATTAAAGGAAAGTCCACGAACCCATTCTTAGTAAATGGCCAACGTCTAAAACATTATTACAGCGTTGAGAACAAAGACTACACCGTGAGCTTAACACTATTAGAGCTACCACCTGAATTAAGAAACTAATTCACGTCTAAAAACATTGTCAAGCTAACGACATTAAACAAGCGC